AGAGAGTGCGAGTGAGCGGGGGAGGGGCAGAGAGAGAGGGAGACAGAGGATCCAAAGCAGGCTCCAGGCTCTGAGCTGTCAGCATGGAGCCCGATGTGGGGCTCAAAATCACGAACCACGGGATCATGACCTGAGCCGAAGTCAGACGCTTAACCGACTGAGCCACCCAGGCGCCCCCAAAGTTTTACAGTCTTACAAGAAGAAGCTATTTGCTCATTTGACTAATTTTGGTCTCTTGTTTCTCAGTTATTTCAGGCCTGGACAGAAGGAAGCATGCAGTTTATGGGGAGACTGTGTCTCTAGTCACTATAAAGGTAGTTCCCTAACTATGGATTCAAAAATATAAATTAGAAACTGCTCTTGGGTACGAATTCCTCCCATGTGAGCTTGTTGAGTGCGATCCACTTATCTCCAGGGCCGATGGCCAGTTAAATCCTGCCCAAGTAGCAGAAAGCCTGTTTGTTTTACGACAAACAGGAAAAGGGGGCCCTCGCTGAAATTCGGGCCTCGGCTAGAACCTGAAGCCAGTGCTGTGCTGATTGTTTGGGGAATACTTAAGCTGGGACAGTTTGTGACGCCTCTCTTCCCCCTTTCCACCAGAACAGCATTTGACGAGGTGCGCAGGCCCAGGATCTGACCCCCAGTCGGGTGCTGAGGGTGGGCCGGGGATTTGAAGAGCTGGAATGTCACCGTGTGATAACCCAGGAATGCGTCTCTGACAAAATCATCCTGATGTCTTCATTTCTGTCGCCCTTTGCAGCTGTTTCAAAACACTCGCAGTATCAGTGATTTCATGGAATCCTCACCTCCTTCTCACGAGGTAGGCGGAGCAGGGTTTATTATCACCGTGGTACAGCTGGAGACACTGAGGGTCCGAGGGGCCCATGTGACTCAGCCCAGGTCACGGGACTAAGAAGCAGCTGAGCTGGAACTCAGGCTGGGTCTCCTGACGGTGAGTTGGATGCCCAGGTGACCGGGAGCCTCCACAGCCACTCGGTGCTCAGGTGAGGGTGTGGCCTTCCTGCCTGTGACTCCCAGGACCGCCTGGCTTTGGGTCCTGGCTCTGCCCATACCAGCTGTCTGGCCTCGGACAGGTTGGTTAAGGGTCTCTGTGCCTCTTTCCTCATCTGTAAAATGAGCGAAATAATAGTACGCGAATCCCCAGAAGGTGTTTTGAGGAGTAAATGAGATACCATAGAGAAGGCAAAACATATCTGTCCTGGTGCAAGACATTTATACATGTTACATCCCCTCCCCGCCTCAGAAAGCCTTTTCCTTAAGGCACAACCCAAAAGACTTGTTGAAGAATTCTGCAGGGGCACCTGGGTGGCTTAGTTATGCATCTGACTCTTGGTTACGGCTCAGGTCATGATCTCACAGTTCGTGAGTTTGAGCCCCGTGTCGGGCTCTGAGCTGACATTGCGGAGCCTGCTTGGGATACTCTACCCCTCTCCTCCTCGCTCTCTATCCCTTTCTCTCTCAAAATAAATAAATAAACATTA